TTATAATATGACATTTTAACCCTTTACCTTACAAAGTTGGTAGATTTTAATCTCTCACGTTATAAAATTGGTAGTTTTTAGTCCCTCACCTTATATTATGACACTTTTAGCCCCTTATCTATATGAATTGAAGAAAATAGCTTTCACTTAACATCATATTATAATATTTTGTTAGTTCTATTAGCTGACTATTAGTTTTGTTAGTTGACTGTTAGTTTTATTAGTTGACTGTTAGTATCCGTTAACATTCTGTTAATAGAACTAACAAATAAAATTAAATTTAAATTTCATATTTTTTATAACGAAATACTAACGAATGTTAACAGTCAGTTAATAAAATTAACAGAATATTATAACCTGATATTAGGTGAGGGTTATTTTCTTCAATTTGTCTAGATGATGGGCTAAAAATGCCATAATATAAGGTAAAGGGTTAAAACCTATCAATTTTGTAAAGTAAAAGGCTAAAATCTATTAAATTTGTAAGATAAAAGATTAAAAATGTCATATTATAAGATAAAGGATTAAAACTTATCAATTTTGTAAGGTAAGGGGCTAAATGTTGGTTTTTTCCCACATTTTTTATCCTGCCAAAAAAAAAGAGAAGGAAGGCAGCCACGGAACAAACGCGTGATCTTTTTTAACCGGATGGGCGCCAAAAACAAATGGAGGCCCCCACATTACCCAATGGGTCCCACAGTTAATCCTTCCGTTTCCTTCCCACACCAATCAATCTGCAACAAGATATATCTCCAACTTCCGTCTCCACATGAAATGGCGTCTCTGCTTCCTCCCTCGCCCGATTTCGCTGCACCAAAATTTGCTTTGCTTTCGGAAAACTTAGGGCATACATTGAGGATTGCTCTCGTTTGTCTGATCGGACGGTCGTCGGTCGGGATAGAATATGAGCGCCAGGAAGAAGGCTCCGCCAACGAGGACACGAGTCGGGAAGTATGAGTTGGGGAGAACCTTGGGTGAAGGTAGCTTCGCCAAGGTCAAGTTCGCCAGAAACGTCGAGACCGGTGATTGCGTCGCCATCAAAATCCTCGACCGTGAACAAGTTCTCCGTCACAAGATGGTAGAACAGGTTGCCATCTCTTTTTTATTTATTTGTTTATTTTTTTTGGTTCAGAATCATTGGAAATCCTGATTAATGATTATAATTTTCTGTATTAATCTTGATCCGTGCTAATTTGATTTCTACCTGAAAAGGATTGAAGGTATTTTTATTTGTATGGTTTCTGATTGTCTTGTGTTTTGATTGATAGATAAAAAATGAAATATCAACCATGAAGCTGATCAAACATCCAAATGTTATTACAATCTTCGAGGTATGCAGAACTGTATTGAAGCTGCAAATTGCTACATTTTAGTTACAGAAACTGAATTGATCGGTTTGCTGGTTTTTTAAGTATAGGTTATGGCAAGCAAAACAAAGATCTATATTGTTATCGAGTTTGTCGATGGAGGGGAGCTCTTTGATAAAATTGTAAGAAAATTGGTTTTCGTTTGTTTGATTTATGTTATTTGGCACCTGGTTGCACATTTCATGGGGGTTATTGCTTTGCAGTTATGCTTGCATGTTTGTTTCTATGTTTATTCATCTGTTTCTTTCAATGGATCATTGATTCCTAGGCCAAACGTGGGAGATTGAAAGAGGATGAAGCCAGGACCTATTTCCAGCAGCTTATTAATGCTGTTGACTACTGCCATAGTAGAGGGGTCTACCATAGAGATTTGAAGGTTTGGACTTTCATTTAATTCAGTGATGAATGAGGTTGAAATTCTGTTCTTGGATCTGGGCCTTAATTTTTATGTAGGATGGTTTCTAATTCATATGTTACTCCACATATTTGCAGCCTGAGAATCTTCTTCTGGACTCAGATGGTGTTCTCAAAGTTTCAGATTTTGGATTGAGTGCATTTTCACAGCATGTTCGGGTAAGATTTTCTAATTGAGGGATGCTATTAAGAAATTGCAATCGAGTTCCAGTGTTAGATTGATGTGTTAAAAGCACATTTTAAAATTATTGATAAGTATGGGGAATGCAAACCAATAGAAATGGAATAAAAAATTGCATCAGACAAGATTATTAAATTTAGATCATTATTACCCAAAAGAGAGTGGGATTTCTTGTTTTTGGAGGCTTGTCAGCAAACCGGGTCCTTTGCACCCCATTGCTTATGGCATATCTCTTTTGTGAAGAATGTGAAAAACTCTGGGAGTCAAGTTGTTGTACGTTAGTTGTTATCAACAAGGTCTCATTTTTGCATTACTTGTGCGCATGCTTAGTTTTTGGAATCTGAAACAATTAATCTAAACCTTATTAGCATTTGCTAATTGTAGGAGGATGGGTTGCTTCACACTGCCTGTGGAACCCCAAACTATGTTGCTCCTGAGGTATTGATTTAAATGTCCTTGAAGGTAGAAAGCTGCACTAGTGCAACTATGTGCCATATTTTTGGTATCTGACATCTTCTTATCAGGTGCTCACCAACAAAGGTTACGATGGTACAGCGTCTGATATTTGGTCTTGTGGGGTTATTCTCTTTGTACTCATGGCTGGCTACTTGCCTTTTGATGAGTCAAATCTTATGGCTTTGTATAAAAAGGTGAAACCATCCTGATAATTTATTTCTTCTCAGATTAGAATTTCATTAAAGTGCTGATTCATGTTTATGTAAATTTCAGATACTGAAGGCTGAGTTCTCTTGTCCACCATGGTTTTCTCCTGAAGCAAAGAAACTGATAAGCCGTATTCTTGATCCAAACCCTCTTTCTGTGAGCCCTAAATGCTTCCCTGCTTCAGAAGCTATTTAATTGCCTGCTCTCTGTGTTCCTACTATACACAATGTTGTGCTTACCTCTAAAATCTATGGTTATTCTTTGTTGTAGAGGATAACTATTCCTGAAATTTTGCAAGATGAATGGTTCAAGAAAGGGTACAGGCCCCCACAATTTAACAAGGAAGACGATGTAAACCTTGATGACATAAATGCTGCTTTTAATGACTCTAGTTCAACAGTAAGAGATTTTACTCTTTTTATCTTTTGTTTCACTTGCAGGACCATCTCAAACTCATTATTTAAAGCACCTAGTTTAGTTTGTGTAATTACCTTGCAAAGTAACTGTATAATCAAACTTGAGAGAATATTATGAAATACATTTCACCTGAAGCTACTACTGATTGCCTGTTTATTTTTTAGGAACACCTTGTAACAGAAAGGAAAGAGAAACCTGTATCCATGAATGCTTTTGAGCTTATCTCTAGATCACAGAGCTTTAGTCTTGACAATTTGTTTGAGAAGCAGACAGTGGTATGTATTATTGATTTCCTATGTTTGATTCTACTCAATCAATGATAGTTATTATAATAATCAAATAAAAATTAGAGTAATAATATGTACCAACATTGTTTGCCTGCATTCACTTCTATATTTGTAATTCCTTCTTATTGCCTGTGCATGTCTCTGCTTTGCTGGTTGGCAATGAAATATAGGGCCGTGTGAAGCGAGAAACAAGTTTTGCTTCCAAATGTCCTCCACATGAGATTATTTCTAAAATTGAGGAAGCTGCGAAGCCTCTAGGGTTTAACGTTCACAAGCAAAACTACAAGGTCTACTTTGTCTTTGATATTACTGCATAATCTGATTGCATCCTTTAAGTTTCTGGATGTGATGTGTTTAGTCATCTAAAGCTTTCTGTTTTTTATGTTTAATTGGTTCTAGTGAAGCAAAACCATCTTATGCCTGTGTTATATTCAAATCATTGCAGATGAGGCTAAAAGGTGATAAAAGTGGGAGAAAGGGCCAGCTCTCTGTAGCTACTGAGGTACCAAATTGTTTGGTCATCAGCCAAGAGCTTTTCTTGGTTTCTCACAATAATATGAGTTGTTAATATATAGGGATAAGAATAACTAACTGTTACCTATCATTTCATTATTATGGGTCTATAAAAATCTTCGGATAAAGTCATTATAATAGGCTGGGCTAGATTATGATAACAAACTTATGTGGTTATATCTTTTAACTGTAAGTTTGTGCTAAATAGTAAATAGCATCACCTAGGTCCAATTCTAGAGAGGTTTAAAAGTCCAAGCTTGACAACTACCCTCCCATTAAATATATAATCCTTTTTTCTTTTTTTTCTTCTCTCAAAATTCTTGATTCTTTTGACTAGATATAGTCGTTAGTTACTTCCTCTGAAAAAAAGAAAAAGCTTATTGATCATTTCAGTTTTGTTTAGTTTTCTTTTTGAAAGTGCATTATGATTGAATGGAGAAATTTTCTCTTACATGACTCCATATTTAAGAGTTGAAAGCCAAAGGGGAACTTTCTAATTTGTATGTAGGCCAGTAGGAAAAAAAAAGGGGTTTCAGATTTTCGGTATTTGTCCTTACATTGTCCTGTATTAAGATACAAGGAAAACTCATTATTTCTTGATTTAGGTATTTGAGGTGGCTCCCTCCTTGCACATGGTGGAGCTCCGGAAAACTGGTGGTGACACATTGGAGTTTCACAAGGTATACTATCATTATAATTTTCGACTTACCACAATTGTCACTTGTCAAGATATAAATTAACTCCCTTGAGATATCTCAAATAACGGATGGCAAGGATAATAGTTTTTGTATTCGGTTTCAATTTTTGAAGAAATCAAGAAACCAAAATTGTGATTTTTTTTCCCAATACTCTATTTTCTTGGAATAAACGGATCTATTTATTGATTTTGAAACCTAATTCACTCTTCATGTGACAGTTCTACCAGACCTTCTCATCTGGATTAAAGGACGTAGTCTGGAAATCTGAAGACATGGTTGAAGAGCCAATGTGACTGCTCTTGCCTGGAGTTCTTTCCATGGTTCGAGAGAGCCTAGTTTTGACTTGTTATTTGTGCATTCAGGTCGTAGCAAATGCTATTCCGGTCCATTTCTTGGTTTACAGGTGATGATTTATGTTAGGTTAGTGTGTCTAGTTTCTGTAGTATAGCGTATTGTCTTCCCTCCTCCCCTTTAAAAAATGGGTTTAATTTCATTTTTCGTTGTCAAATAAATAACTGTATCAATGGAATTTTTGGTAATAGATGGATGTATCCTTCAATAATGTGCCGTGTTCATCAGAAGCTCATTTGTTCACTAGCCTTAACCTCGGTTGTGCGTATTGCCCCACTTGAATTTTGTTATGCTCGCATAAATTATTAAATTTTTATCTTAATTTAATTATTAAGAAAGACTTTTTTTAATTGTATAATAAATAGTTTTTTTATTTTATAATTTATTTTATCTATATATCATATAAATCGAATTAAAAAATTTTTATTTTTATAAAAAAATTATTACTAAATTATTTAAATTATTATGTAATTATTAAAAAAAAGTTGATATCCAATAAAACTATTAATTTTTTATTTAATAAATTGAAATTAATTTATAAATAAATAATTATTTTTAATAAAATTTTAAATTAATAAAATAACAATTATATTATATGGCGCTAACGAAAATGAGGGTAGCCATAACCTCAGCCCTTGACCCCTTGTTTCTTCTTTCATGGGGAGCAGGAGTGCTTTTTGGGGCAAAAGCCTATTGAGCCCCTTATCTTGTCAAGTTTGAAGGTTTTAATCCCTTATCTTATACTATAACATTTTAACCCCTTACCTTTCTTAATTTGTAAGTTTTAACATTTCACCTTATACTATAACATTTCACCTTATACTATAACATTTTTAGCCCATCACTTATTAAAATGAAAAAAAAATAACCCTCATTTTGTAACATTTTATTAATTCTCTAAACTGACTATTAACTCTATTAATTAATTATTAGTTGATTGTTAACTGTCAAAAACTTTTTTTCAACTAACAAAATTAACAAAATTAATTTTATAATATTTCATTAATTTTGTTAATTAACTATTAATTGACTGTTAGTTGATAAAAATTTATTTTCAGCTAACAAAATTAACAATCAATATAAAATAAAAGTTATTACTTTTGATTTTTATAAAAGAAGGGTTAAAACTTACAAATCTAGTAAGATGAAAGAGTTAAAAATGTCAAAATATAAGGTAAGAGATTAAAACCTTCAAATTTGACAAGGTGAGACACTAAAGCTAAGCTTTTGTCGCTTTTTGGACACAGATCAACCTCCCCCTGTACTTCATCCAAATTCCAAATAGCCAAACATCAAGAAACATAAGATGATGCAAAGGAGAGACGAAACATAGAAATATTTTACCAGTATTTGTAAATAAAGAGTAATTTACAATGTATTTTTGGAATTAATTAGACCATAAAAGGTTCAGATATTCATATTATAAAAATATTTTTATGATATTTGCCTAAAACCAATCAAACTAGTCATGAAACAGACCTACAAGGAATCAAACTTGAAATTGGTTATGGCCTTCGGGGGGGCATATACAGCTCTTCCAACAGAAGATGAAATTTTGGTTGCCCGTGTCACAACAACACCACAAAAAAACAACTAAACATTCAAATGAATTTGCTCGACTATCACCTAAATGACATGTAGGTTATAATTTCTTGATTCCAAACTCTTCTTTCCCTGGCTTTCATCCTTCCTGATTCAAGCAACAAGGGATGTTAAGTTAATTTGTCCTGCTTAACCAGTTATCCAACTATAATTTGTCCCGTTTCATGGAAGCAGCGACTTGTCTCTGCGCCTCTCTAACTAATAGGGCCAATACCTTCTATTGCGGTTGCCATCATCACTACCACTATTTCCAC